AATCAGTGATAAAATGCTAAACAATTGTCATATCATTACTAAATCCGATGATTATTTGCACTGTTTTTGGCCTAAATGTCAATACAAGACACGATTAAAAAGCGATCTTAATAGACATTATTCAAAGCATTCAGTAATTAAACCATTTAAATGTAATTTTAATAATTGTAACAAATTCTTCAAAACGAGTTTAGCCTTAAAAAGACACAAAAATATTCATTTAAAAGTGAAATTTATTTGTGATTTTAATGAATGCCACAAAAGTTTTACAACAAAACAAAATTTATTTCGACACAAAAGTTGTGTTCATTTGAATGAAAAGATATTCAAATGTTATGAAGAAAATTGTGGCAAAAACTATGTTTCAAAATCACAATTAAATGAACACATACGCCTACATTCGGGAGAAAAACCATTTATTTGTGATTTCAATGAATGTCACAAAAGTTTTAATTGTAAATCCAATTTAATTCGACACAAAAGTTGTGTTCATTTAAATAACGACAGATTTAAATGTAATGAAGAAAATTGTGGCAAAGGTTTTGGACAGAAATCAGATCTAATTAAACACAAACGCATTCATTCGGGAGAAAAACCATTTGTTTGTCAATTCAATGGTTGTAACAAGAAATTCGCGCAAAAACAAAATTTTAATGTTCACATGAAAAGACATAATAAAATAACAAGCTATAAATGTATTCATAATAACTGTAATCACTGTTTTGTTACGGCAAATGATATGAGGGTACATTCTAAGCGCAAACATGATAACATTTAATTACATTATGGTGAAAACTTAATAATGATTATTGTTTTATGTTTTGCTATTAATTATACAATTATTAACATTATAATAAAAATATCTCAAATGAAATCAATAACTCCAATAAACATTTTATGATTAATAATTTGCTTGAAATGTGTGTCGTATAAAATCTATGACAGGTATTACCAATTGAACCGATACTTACGGATCAACACATTCAGGGGCTGATGAGAGACACGCATTTCGGCCACATATGCGCCGCACCGGACATACCTTCTGCGTTGGCACCACTGGTGGCCACTGTGGCCAGCATTGAGTCAAACAATCCGGACGCTTGTTGGCAATCCTGGTGCCGAGACTTAACCCACCTTTTGCTGTGAGCGATGGTGTGGTTTGCCGTTCGCCGTATGAAAAGTCGCCAATCGCTTGAGTCGTCGGTCAGTCGTCCAGAGTTTGTTATAAATGTAACTAATTTTGCCGCAAAACTAATTCATATAATCTTTTAATTTATATTCAAATAAAAAACCATTTGCTTGTATGCGGAGTAAAACGGTAATAGGTAACCATGGTAATTAAATGTGAAACTGATTTTAATTCGTGGTATGATCTGACGAGGAATCCACCTGAAGTACCATGCTAGAAATCATTAGTAATTTTAAATTTAATATAGAAATCCAATTGTTCATTATTTATATTAGAGAGTTAATGTAGTGATTATAATGATCATGGTCAAATTCGCACATTTTGAGGTGGAAGACAGGTGAAATAAAATAGTTCTTATGGAAAATGGTGCCATTGAATAATTTATTATGAGTTACTATTATAGACTACTCTGCAACTGATTTTTATTAGTGGAAAGTACATAACCGGTTTTTCACTAAAGTACCATGTTAAAGGCCATAGGTGGAAATGAATTCCAGCAAAAGCAGCCAATTTAAAAAAGATTAAATGTCAACATTTATTACTCAGTTACTATTATAAGTAGCCTGTAACTGATTTTACTTGGTGGAATACAGCACACCTGAATTTCACCTGAGGTACCATGATATACGACATTATTAATTTTAATATTAATTTAAATATGCATTTATTCACAATTAATATCTAAACGTTAATGTTCTAATTGAAATTATTATTATAAACTTAGTACATTTTAAGGTGGAATATAAAAATTACTCGTGCGTTTGCGTTTGTGTCAAATTAATGTCTGATTTGATGCAAAATATTTGCCACAATATTCTTCAGTGCATTTAATTCTGCTTTTATTTAAATGAACATAACTTTTGTGTTTATATAAGTAAACGTTTTGCTCCTCTACTAACAAATTACTGCCTATCAACAAACATGGCCACCGCCTTGACCGCGATTTACCGAGGTAATGGTTTGATACGAGACGCGATTGCCTCAATATTAAAGTAAATTTTTTGAATATATTGTTTGTTACGAAATAATATTTATTCGATGTTTATGTTACATGTATTGATAGCCATAGACTAACAAAAACAAGTTTTTTGGGTCAAAAACAAGAAATTATACGTGGCATTACTTGTTTGTTAAGTCATAATGCATGTAACCTTTGGTTGGAATACACTTTTGTGAACAAAAAACAAAATTAACACTACGTGTCAATGTATATTTTGAATAGTAAAATTGAAATTTTATTCAAAAAATATTCAATCAGATATGTAAACATTCTGCATTGCTTACTCTATTATATGCATTTTACAAAATCTAATTATCTCGTATCATTTAATAGTTATAACAAAAACCTTGACGCACCGATTATAGTAAACGCTACGGCCCGGGAGTACTACAAATAATCGTCGTTTTACTCAATCGCACACTTCAGTAAATTCCTTTCGCCCGGCGCTCAACGCCTCAACCATACGCTCGCTATCGACGGTCCGACAAACACAACAATGGCAGCTAATGTTGAATCGTAAGATATTCATACCATACATTTGTTTAGAACACACAAATTTTGTCACAATTATATATTTTTATATACCCCCGGTAACCATAGTATCCGTAATATTAGTTAAAATCACTCTATTGTTTATTTAAAACACAAAGCACTCGTCGTATGTATAAACAGACAAAGGCTTTGGCCTTGAATTCAACACTTAATTATACGAGAGGTAAACACTAACTACACATACATTGCATATCTGTATTGGAGTACAGTTTTTGATAAATATTTGTAGATGTTTTACGCACAGAATATGCCTATAGCATTATTTAACTATAACACGTGGTAAGCCCATTAATTCCTTGTTTAATTAAAATTGAAATGGTTAATTGAAAGTACGTATACCAGAACTCGTCTGACCATTTTCGAAATTTGAGCTTGGGCATTTTAAGATTATCCTTGTGCTTATTCCGGCGGCACGAAGAGCAACGAAATGGCTGCATATTATTTGGGTTGGGATTTTTTATTTGTTTGTAACAATCTTTACAAATGTAGTGTTCGGCACAACTAATCGGGCGACCATTGAGGACAGTAATGTCATCAAGGCAAACCTGGCATCTTTATTATACATATATAATTATATACAATTTTAACCATGTATATTTAACTATAATAAATTATAATTATTGATTACAATATTAGATACTTACACAAGGTTATTTTGCACATTATCTGGTTCGGTGGTAATTGGCTGGACAGAGGTAGAGTAACCATCAGGGTTGTTGGGTTGTTTGGATGGGGTATAGTCACTAAAGTGGGAAGGGTGATTGGGTTGTTCGGAGGACGTAGATTGGCCAGGTGAGTATGTGGTGGTAGAAGTGTCGTTCAATAAGTCCGTACAATTGTAGTAACAGGTAACTTCACCAGGGGTATTGCGCCAATCGACCTGTTGACCAGTTACCCCGACCAAATTTTCCAGCCGAGCCATCGTTCGACCCATTTTTAAAATTAACTTTGCAAATAATAAAACTAAGCAAGTTTAATTTTAATATAAAATAAAATAAAACAATGCCAGTATTTATATATTTTTGTGCAAGGTTATAATGTATTTAAATTGCCAAATATTATAATAAATTATACTACCACCGAAAGTTGAAAAAATTAATTATGCATTTGATATTAGTTAATTTTATATATTGTATATATATTACATTATATTAAGTATATTTATACTTTATTTTTCCGGATATAATTATAATTAATTATTAAATATATTAAGTTTAGTTTTATATATTTTAAACTTTTTTATTTAACAAGGTTATTTATCAAGGTTATTTTAATTAATGGAGTGCAAGTTAATCAATTAATTGACATTGATATTATTTAATGCAATTAATAACTAATAAAACATTTATCAAATTTAACATGTCCATTGTGAATTAATTGTACAATGATATATTAACATATATATATTATGTGCTTTTTTTAATTTTAAGTATTATGGTTACTTTAAGTTCCGGTTATGTCCGGCACGGGGAATTGCCGGCCAGCTTACTGATCATTCTAGTTGGCCAGCGCTAACACCTTATCCAATGAGCAGCTTAGACATCTGATCTTTATTATTTCGTGGATACCCCACTGGCTAATCCGACCACTAATTGGTCATTTATTTTTTACCCTCACCCCCTGGCGACTCCCGAAGTGACCGGAAGTGGCCAATCACGTGAGAGAGAGAGAGAGGGAGGGAGAGAAAGATGTGATGACATATCTGCGCTCAACTCTTGTGTGTCACAATTGGTGGTATGAGCTGACGAGGAATCCGACTAATTCATACAACCTTTTAATTTATATTCAAATAAAAAACTATTTGCTTGTATGCGGAGTAAATCTTAAGTAACCATGGTAATTAAATGTTAAACTGATTTTAATTCGTGGTATGATCTGACGAGGAATCCACTAGAGGTACCATGCTAGAAATCATTAGTAATTTTAAATTTAATATAGAAATTTAATTGTTCATTATTCATATTCGAGGATTAATGTAGTGATTATAATGATCATGGTCAAATTCGCACATTTTGAGGTGGAAAACAGGTGAAATAAAATTGTCCTTATGGAAAATTATGCCATTGCATAATTTATTAATGTTACTATAATAGATTACTCTGATTTTTCTTAGTAGAAAATACATAAGCTGTTTTCCACTATGGTACCATGCTACAAGCCATAGGTGGAACAGACTTCCAGCAAAAGGTGCCATTTTAAAAAAGGTTAAATGTCAACATTTGTTAATCATTTACTATTACAAGTAGTCTGTAACTGATTTTAATGGTGGAATACAGCACACCTGAATTTCACCTGAGGTACCATGATATTTGTAATTATTAATTTTAATAATGATCTAAATATACCATTTTTCATAATTAATATTTAAACGTTACTGTTTTTATTGAAATCATTATTATAAGATTGATACATTTTAAGGTGTAAAATAAAAACTACTCGAAACGCTATATCGAAAATAGTTGCATTACAACATTAACAAGTTATTAAATTGTTACAATTGATTAACAAATTACTATCTGATACCATATTGCCAGTTTACAGGTAACTAATTTAATAAAACTTATTTATCAATTATGTTACTTTTCCGTCTGGGTCAATAGTCAACGATATTTGTGGGACGTCAGCCCCGGCCAGACGTGTGCCGCCAAATACGTGCGCTTCGAGCCGAGTGCGGGACTCAAGCACCGGTTGGCACAAGTGGTTGAGAAATACATACTTATAACGCTCCGACACTCACACGTTGTCACCTATCATTAAAGTCCCTATTTTTCGGGAATACGAAAAAATATTATTCTTCTTATATAAAAGAAGAATTCTTTACTTATAAAAGCAATTAAATTAGTTTATTAACTTTAAAATAATTAAAATTAAAATCAATTAAATAAAACATCTTAAATTAATAACCTAATATACTATTAATACTAAAGAGTTAAATAACCTTTGTAATTTATTTAATAATAAATATGTTTATAAATTAAATTATCATTAAAATTAAACTTGACATTGAAACTTAACTGTGTTAAAAAGTATAAATAGCTTGCATTAATTAAATATTTTAAAATTAAAGTTGTATAACTTTTTATAAAATTGTGCTAGTTAAATTGTAAAATGGCAAGAACATATGCAACTTTTACACAGGGTAGTTTTGGTCATTCTGCAAAGTCCGATTAGCGCAACACCCCTGGACAGGCTACCGGTTATCACAATTGTTTGGATCCATGACGTGATTTACCCATTAGGTCTCAGGCTGGCCATCATACTCCCGCTGAACAACCCGATTACCCTGGCCAAGTATAATTTATATATTTTAAAATTTTGTAATTAGTTTGCATGCATTATAAATTATTATTAAAATATTTGACTATTTTAAAATTTAATTTAAATTTATTTTAATTATTGGTG